GAATGTGCAAGAACAATCAAACTAATAAAAACGTACATATAGTATGGTTAAAATTCAATTTTGATTTTTATAAAAAATATAAGAGAAATAGAAAACTCATTTAATTAAATATTTAAAAATTTTGAAACATTAAAAAAAAAGAACTACGAAGCACCCTGGGTTTGAGCCCGAGACCACGCGATCTAGCGCCAAGCCTTTTACCACGACGCCACCCCTCTGCTCGTATTCCCAATGGCAAAACTGAAATAGATTCATTGCTGCAGCGTCATCTAGCAGAACTAAACGAAACTAACTGCTGTATGTGTGCACATGTATAGGAAAACTGTTGTAGCTGCTGCACGTGCGTTTGTTAATTGGCCAAACATTTTGTTATTTTTTAACGTCGATTGACTTAACCGAATTTAATGAAACTTTCAGCATATGATCTACATATTCTATTGAATAATTGACAAATTTGAAAAAATTAAAAATCATTCACAATTAGCTACAGTGGCATCTGCCTTAATTGATAATGTTTTTAATCGATAATAAAATGTTCCCATTTTCAATGGGTTCAGGGTACAAAAATCAAAGAATGTGGTAAGTAAACCACTAAGTCAATTTAAGTTTCTATAAACCTAGCCACATTCCACTGCCGTGGCCTGGCCTGACTGTGAGGTGTAGTTTATTTTCTATCAAGGACTTACTATAACTAGCTTTAGGGCAGTTCAAATCGGATTTGCTGGACGAGTCACTTATCTTGCGTCATTTTAAGTGTATTTCCTGTATGTCTTCATTCCGTATTGGCATATTCTTTAAAATTCTATAGTTTGATTTGTTGTGGCTTCAGTTCAAAGCGAACATTTCCTGGAATCAACAGCAGAAATATTCAATATCCGGTGCCATTTGTAATGCGATGTCCTGTTTGCCTTTTGCCTTTTGAGCTTGCCTTTCGCTGTTTGCCTTTGCTGTACCACGAAAGTAGGAAACTTTGATGGACTAGAACCGCAACTTGTTTATGCTTGGAAAATTCATTACACTAGAATTTATGCGGCATCCCTTTTTAGCCTGTCTTTGCCCATGGTTTTATTATGTCGGAAATGAATTTCAGAATTATGCAATTCATTAAGTGTTTTGATTATTTCTGTTTCAACTATGCCCCAGTTGATGTGGCAAACAAAACTCTTTCGTTGCCCATTTTAAGTGACCAAAAAAGGTATATTGTTGACGTGATAGAAGATACTACAGAGTTCATCTAACAATGTTCACCTTACTTTTATTAGTGTCATCGTAACATCTTATTCAACTAAGTTAAGGCTATATATATAAAAATGTGCATATAGTTTCTTACAATGAATACATTTATTTATAATTTTGGATACCCTCAGTCCCTCGCTTTTCAGGTAAATCTTGGGATACACACAGATGGCAACAAGAGTTCCCTTTAGTTTTCAGGGTAACTTCGAGTCGTTCCCTCCAAATTAAAATAATCCCGCTTGATTCCTGTTTTCGCCTTTTCCAGCCCGGAAAGAATTTTGATTAAAATATTTTTTGTGTATCTGCTTAGAATTTAAAGTATGTGGCGCCTTCTGACTGAGCCCTGAGTCCTGTGTTCAGTGTCATAAAGCCATCATGGAAATGGAAACGGAAAGTGCGCAAAAGCTCAACCCAAAACCCACTCGGTAGCCCGGCGTTGTCCTGCTTTGGCTTTAATACAGTTAGATTCGTTCAGCTGCCCCCGCTCATCCGGGCGTTACTCGACTCGACCAGCTCACCAGCTTTGCGCTCTCGTTTCAGCATAACCCGAGGGTATTTTGTTAATTGAGTTTTGTGACGCTTTGACTTTATTTGTGGTCGCTAGCAACAACATTTCTTGCCTTCCTTGTCCCCATTTCGCTTTTTTCTGTTTTGCCCAGTTCATCGACAATTTGTTTGATTACTTAAAGCTATTTCTGTTTCCCAGCTAAAGAAGGACCTGGTGTAGATATTTAATAGTCGAGTGCTCTTGATTGCACTTGTTATTGTTGTAGATCAGCCTTAGCTAGAGCAACTTTGTTCCGGAAGTTTTCCCCTAAACAAGTTAAGAGCAAATTCGACCATGAAAACAAGTGAAGGTATTTAATAGTCGGCTATCTGTTGTTGTTCTTGTATCCTTCTTGGTTTCGCTAAGCTTGAGTGATTATTTTGCCATTCATTGTGTATTTTGCTTCCGAAGCTTGATGTAAGGAGATTAGATATAAAGGGACAAAACTTCATTAAACTGATTGGTCTAGGTATTCATTTGTCGATCATACTTACTTCTAAGAAGTTAGGAAGCATCTAAAGTCGATTCTGGGATCTAGTCCAGGCATCTAATAGTCGACTACTTCTAGATTCTCTCCTAGCACTCAGCATTTACTTTGATCTTTATATTTGTCTACCCCAAGCTAAACTCGATTAGAGAAACTGGTGCAGATACATAAAAGTCGACTATCAATCCTGTATTTTTTTTTTTGCTTTGACTTGTGTAAAACTATAAAAGTTCACAGCTTCAGCTTGAATCGTAAGGCAATAAAAATGGAATTAATTTTAAGTGCTTGCAAGTAATTGAAAAAGTTTTAGTCCGCGGTTCGAGTCCCAGCAGCAGTGATTGCTTGATTGTTCTGGACTGTGGATGCTTACGCATTTATGTGCGTAATGAGCAAAAATTGTCTCTGGCTCTGATTGCAGTGTAATGACTTTTAAATGTAAGAGAGCGAGAGAGGTGGTGTAAGAGAGGGAGAGCGAGAGAGAGGGGGAGGCATTGTGTGACACTTACCGGACGCAACTCGCTGACATCCCAGCCAAGATATTCGGCCACGGCCATCATCTGATTAACAATGGCATCCATTTCGGCTGTGTCCAGGACTCCGTTGCTGTCCGTGTCGTATAGCCGGAACATGACTGCCATAATGAATGATTGCGAGAGAGAGAGATGGAGAGAGAAAGAGTGAGTGAGATAGGTGGAAGGGTCAAGTGTTGTGGCATGCCTCATAGCTTTCTCAGCACTTACATTCGAGCTTGTCCTCTGGGCGGCCAGCCTCGAGCAGTGATAAATAGCAAACGACATCCTTCAGCGGAACCTTCAGTGTCAAGGGATCGAAGTGCGAGTATTTGCGTGCCAGCAGCTTAATGTCAGCTGCAAATAATAATTAAGAGCATAACAATCAAATTAACAACTCAATCTGTACATCATTAACTGAACAAATAACTCATATTGACATAATATTCCAGCATTTATATTGTATGTGTCGAATACAGATGGAGCCAACAGGGAATGCAGAATCTTTGGCGGATAGAGTCCCAAATATTTATTATATATTACATAATTATCAATAAATTCCTAAATGATTATACAATACTTAAAAAATATAATAAAATCTCTTTTATTAAGATAAATCATTTCTTACTACAAAGGTAAAATAGGAAATTAAATTTGTTACAAATTGTTACTTAATATAAACAATAATATAAAAAATGTTAAAAATCATGTCTGCTAGAATTAAAAATTTCAATAAAACCCAAAGTTCAAATTTTAATGTTAATTTAATTACTGGAACGACTCCCAGTTCCCCCGTTCTTGTAGTGTATTAAGCAAGTCTCAAAGGGGGGAAATTTGCTGCTGCAATTGCATTTGTCAGTGACAG